CGAGGAGGGACTACTAAAGTGACTCAGCCTCCATGTATTTTCTGTCCGGCAAAATTTTCTAGGTTTTTGTGCTGCCCCCTACGTACTTCTTGGCCATTTCAAACTCCGGTCGGTAAAATCGACGCATCAGAAAAAGATGGAGTTAGTTTTGAAACGGACAGCAATAATATACCGAATGCATAGATTTTCATTTTTTTCACGAAATCACGTATGATAAGATCTAATACAAAAACCTGGTGCTTTTTCTAAGAAATTCTATTGGTGTTCCATTACAATTCTATCTGTTTTTCGCGCCGATTTTGAGGAAAATTATGCAACTTGTTCGGGCGTTTTTAAGCGAATATTTATTCATAGAAAAATGTCTATAGATGTTGATTTTTCTACGTGACTTATTCTATTGGGATTTATTATAGAAGAAATCTTGGTGGTGAATTTTTCATTTTTACTTCTTGGATTTCATTTGAAAAACAAATAAAAATACAATGGAAAAAATTTTGGAAAGTTTCGCCCAAGAATTGTTATAGTATGACTATGTCGTCCATGTACACGAATAGTTCAATTCCCTGTAGCCCTGAGAGAACTTGGTCCATCATTCTCTGGAACGTCGCGGGAGCGTTTTTCAAGCCGAAAGGCATCTGTTCAAATTCGTAATGTCCGTGGGGTGTGGAGAAGTTAGTTTCCGATTTGGATTCTGGGGCCATTGGGACTTGGTGAAATCCAGACGCGAGATCTAGCGTGTTAAAGTATTTCGCGCCTCCTACCTGATCTAGGATGTCCGTAATGTTGGGGAGGGGATAAGAGTCGCAGATAGTTTTTTCATTAAGCTCACGATAATCGATTACCATTCGCCAGCGCGGTTTACCGGAGGAATCGGCCTTTTTGGGTACAATCCAAACGGGCGAATTGTAAGGAGAGTTAGAGGGTGTAATTATACCCTTTTCTAGGAGGTCATCTACCTGAGCTTTACTTCTTCCTTGTGTACTTGAGGCAACCTGTATTGTTTGGTGTTAATCGGTAATTCGTCACTAGTAATTATTTTATGCTGGGCAGCATTTGTCGAACCCAATTTATCTCCTGGCAGTGTGAACTGATAAGGAAACAAATTGATGTCCTCCGAAATGCTGGCCTTTTCCGCGTCGTTTAAATCGTCTAGTTTAAGATTTTCGACTAATTGAACAAGTCTCGCGGCGTCGGCCTTTCATTTCTCCAAGTCTGGATAGGCTGTTCGGGCTGACCGATGAGTTGGCGGAATTACTTCGAAATCTTCTAGTTCGATTGGGGGTAAAGTGATGGTTACTGGGACCACGTTCTGTTTATTGCAAAAACTTTAGCGACACCATTTTCCTTCCTTACTAATGACTCACCTAGAAATATTCCCGGCCCGAGGTCAACATTACCGACGTAGCCCGTTTCGTTTTCTGTGTCTTTAATTGGTATTGTAATTAGTGTTCTCGCTCGGGGTGGGAGTTGAAAAGTAGTGTGTGAACTCAAGGGCACGAAATTCTTTCCGAATTGTAAATACGCGGGGATCTCATCACCGAGCAGTAGCTGTCCCTTTTGTTTCTTTAAAAAGGAAATTCCCAAAATACCGCCTTGATCAATGGGGAAATTATCGTCAACTACTTGGAATTTAACATTTACTCCTTGAATTGAGAGTGTGACTTCGCCTAATGTATGAATCATTCCTGAGCCTATCCCCGTGAGGCTGTAGATAGTGGACGTGTTTATCGATGCAATGGAATTTAAAACATTTCGTTTGATTAAATTTAATTGAGACCCTGTGTCGATGAGAAAATATGTATGACCGTCATTAAAGCGGAGGCTATTGAGACTGACCACGGGTATTAAGGGATATCATTTACCTGCGATTTATAGCAAAATCGGTGGTATTGGAGTGGGCAATAAGAGGTTTTACCTCGCTCGTGCCCTGGTGCAGGCCCCCCGTTGAGTTTAAAGATTCGGTTTGTTCAGTTTCGGCATGAGCATTGTAATGAGGATTGAAACGAGGTCTCCCAGCTAGTTTAGATCGACAAACATTTTCCTTGTGGCCCATTTTTCCGCACCAATGACACGTAAGTTTAGATTTCTCTCTCTCTCTCTTTTCTCGTCAGTCAAACCGTCGGCGTATAAGTAGGGGCTTCCCAATCACTTATTCCATTGAACGATCAACGTCTACGATCGTCTAGATATGAGAGAAGTGGGGGGCCGTCAACAGGGTAGTGCGCCATAAGCGAAGCACGTCAGCTCACGCATACTACTGCAAGATGGCGAAACGTGGGAAAACGCTTGGTCCTGGAATGAGTTAAATTCAGGGAATTCGTCCCCCGAATAATAAAACATTTCATGGGCTACTGTAGTATTTACTATGTGATATAGTAAGAGTTACTATACGTTATAGTATACCCTCCTATTTCCACAATAATCTCTATAATTTTTTCCTCTCCGTGTAGAAAAGAGGACATCCATTTAATATTCTAAGGTAAAAACGTGCAGAATTCAGGAAAAAATGGCAATGTTGATAAATTGACAGCAAAATAATTTTATTGAAGTAAACATTTATAATCATGAATTTGGAAAATACCGTAGACATGGCCAGAAAACGGAGAAAGATTGTTCACGGAGAACGGAGAAAGAAGTCTTCAACCTTGGCGAGGACACACTCTCGTGCATATACCACCCGGGTGCAGTCTCACCATACCGCGAATGCAGGCGCATGCGGCAACGCAGCGCTGGAAGAAATATTGTTCATTAATCAACAGAGCTTTCACAAATTTCAGATACGTAATGAATTTGCCGGAAAATTCTATTCGATTTTTATCAAATTTCTATCAAAGATGTATCACACCCTTTTCGCCAAAATTCACGTATTTTGAATTTTTCTGGTAAACTGTTGATCGGATTGACGTGAAAAAATATACCGTTTTTGTATTTTATCATTACTTAAGGGCTCACAAAATGTCCTGATCGTGCAATTATTTTCCTGCATTTTTTCTAAAACTTTTCGGAAGTTCACAAAACGTTAGAAAAAATGCAGAAAAATGATTGCACTACCGCAAAATTTGGTGAGTAAGTCAATAATGATAAAACGTAAAAACGGTATATTATTTCGTGTCAATCCGATCAATAATTTGCCAGAAAAATAAAAAAAAACGTGAATTTTGGCCGAAAGGGGGTAGTACATCCTTAAACATTTTATTAGTTTTTCACCGACTTTATCGAAAAATTCCGTAGTTTTACTGCGGTTTTTTTCACTCAAAAAAAAAAAATTCACAATCTACTGAATTTTTCCTACAAAATATCTTCTCCTGAATACTTCTATTTCTAAAAATGCACAAGAAAGCTCATTTTATCCGTTTATTCCCAATGAAGTAATCAATTGAAAGTACTGAAATTAAGTCATAAAAGTACTTGAGAGAAGTTAAAAAATTACTTTTCACCAGTACTTTTAGTATTTGTGAAAAGTACTAAAAGTACTAGCAGAAAGTGGTGAAACTACATCCTCCCAGTACTATTTCTACTTGATCGCTAGAGGTGGTACTTTACTCAAGGATACAAAAACTACTTAGGACAAGTATTTTTCAAACTCTTCATAAGTGAACTTCCTCCGAGAACCGGTCGGTACTGGTGAGAATTACATTTTTCTTTGGGTGTTTCATAAAAATTTCCAATAGATTCTATTTTATAGGCCAAATCAGGAGAATTTGATCATTCTGCATAGTGCGTAACAAAAGTCGTGCATATGACCTATATAGCGATATTTCTGATAAAAAAAATAAGGCGAAATGGCAGAAATTTTTGAAAATCCTACAAATTCTTGACATCTAAAATATGCTGGATATGGTAAAATATGTTAGAAACTCCGATACCCTCGCAGACTCTAAACACCCTCAAAATTCAAAAAACCCTAGAGTTCTTAAAAATTATCAATTTATCAAAATTATCAAATTATCAATTATCAAAATTATTTAATTAGCTTGTAAATGGACTACGCTTTTTTTTGGTGCTGTTAAACGTTGGTAGTGACAGTTGAACTCACTGGCATTTAATAATTTTTCCGTACTGATTTCACTTTTCCTCGTCCGAGGATTGTTATTGACCCTTTCCCAAACTCGTAAAACTGAAAATCACTACGGGAAAATATCGTTCACGCTTCCTGCCATGGGGTTATTTTACTCGCGTAATTGGCCAGTCCTCGCCTTCGGCTCAGACGCCAACTCCACTCGAGTGAAAAACCCCATTAATGGTACTCGCCCTGAAATATACAATAATTCCAGTGCCTCGTCAATTATCCGAATCCCAGTCAACTGTTATTCTTTGAACTTCGCGTCATTATACTTCTCACATTCTGCAAATCTCAATTTCCTAATCTGCTCAGAAATTTTCAATTCATCGCCTTCCACCACGTCAGTACAGAATGATCATATTCTTGATAATTAACTCATTAGTAATTATTCTTACTCGACCAGGGCAGGCTCCTCGAGGATTACTACATGTCGGCTGACATGCAGGAGCACATGTTTGAAATACTTCCCCGGAACGGCATCGCCTCGGTCGTTGAGGACGTGGTTCTGCACCTTTGAAAATCCATAAAACATCATGCTCAATATACAGTTGACGGTACAAGTATAAATTCAAAATTAAAAATAATTTCCGAAGAATTTATCACCTTAGTGTAGAGTCAAATTTCATTAAATTTATTTCTTTTTTTGGGATTCTACACCAGCAACGTCCTCGTCGTGAATCCTAGATTACGCTAAGAGCTGGTGAGGTTAGTTAAATACCTCAATACTCGGTAAACACAATGTAAATTCTGAACGAATCCCGATATTTGAATTCTTTAACCCCTCAAGGACGGGATCCATATACGTATATGGACCCAAGCAAAAACGCATGATTCTGTTCAAAACTGAATAATTCCAAAACTGTGACATATAATCCAATTCCGCCAATGCCAT